TATATATATATATATATACTGTGCTTTTTTGGTATTTGTCTAATAAAGATCAAAAGAAAAACTTTATTTCGGCAATTAAGGTGCAATTTTCATTCAAAACCTCGAATTACTATATCTATAACAGATTATTAGAAATGTAAAGTCTAATAAATAAGGGTGCTGGCAGACACTTTAGATTTATAGTAGTTACGCATCAAAACAGATTTCGGCTATATATTTTAAATAAAATTTTGATCATTCACATTTCTTTGATCTGGTATGCTTTGTGAAAATAAGTGAGGAGGTAATTGCGATTGGTAAGAAAAAGTTTTAAAAAAATGGAATAAAAAAAGGGAAGAAGTTCCGTTAACTTTATGAAGAAAATTAAAATAAATAAATAAAATAAGTAATAAATATAATAAAGAAAATAAATAAATAATGGAAAAAATAAGAAAAAATAAATGAAATAAAAATAAATGAATAAAGTAAAAATTTACGAAATAAAAAATTTATAAAATAAAAAATTAATAAAATAAAAAAATAATAAAATGAAAAATTAATAAACAAAATCAAAAATAATGAGAAAATCTACCTTTGTTCAATGCTACTTTATAAAACTTGTAATATTATTATGAAAAATTTAGAAACTTATAACATTATTTTGTATACTAGCAGGAATAATTGAATTTGTTTTGTAATAATTTTTATTTTGTTGCTAAAAATATTCAACGATTAATTATGAAAACAGTTTATTTTATGATTCACCCAAAATTTACTAGATATTAATGCATATTTTAATGATACTGATTTGAAAAATATCACGTAGATATTTCATATTAAAATTATACAGTCTTCTCAACTATAAACTAAGATTCCAACTTCTTCGCTTCCTAGGTGACAATATTATAAGTGTTAGAATATTAAAAAAAAATATTATTACTCATAAGCGAGTACCTTGTAGTTAGTATTTAGGGAAAGTGAGTAAACGTTTTTTAATGAAACCGTACAATGAATATATTTGCCTTGGTTAGGGCGTTTGTCTGAAGCGGATAAAGTGGTCCGATTTCAGGGTTTGGGGGTTAATATTTTCCCTAGAGTCATGCCCTTGAACATTCCATAGAATCCTCAAGGAGAATCACCACTTTTATTTTGCTTATTTCATTTTTCTCCCTACTTCCACGAATACACTCCTGAGTTAACGATCAAAAATAGATAGTTGGTTGACTCAGTCTTTTTAAATTGAAATTTTTTTTATGGATGTCGATATATGTACGAGTTAACGAAAATAGTTCAATTGATAATATTTATCAACTGATTTACACATTTAAATTTCCTAAAAAGATATTGAAGAGTGGAATATGCAGCATTGAATCGACAAAAAAAGAAGATATAATTAAATAACTTTTTCTAAAGGGGTCACTTAAGTGGAGATTTGGTTGCAATCTTAAAAAGCATCATTTTTCGGAACATATTCTAAAAATGGGCATTACTGAATGCACAAAAGCTTCATATTTTTCTCCCAATACAGACTTCCTACTTCACAGTTTAGACCCGTACGTCATGCAGGAAATTAATTAATATATTTGAAATTTTTTTAATTGATTGAATATCTTATCATTTATGCCTGAAATAAAGTATAATTTTTAATTAATACCCTATAATTAAAAAATAATTGTATTTATATTTATAACAAAAACTGCCTAAAATTTTAAACGAACTAGTGAGCACTGTATATCATTTTTTAGAATTACATGAAATATTGTATCTTTCACAGGAAACGTTATAATTGTTCCTAAAATCCTTAAATATAAATAAAGGTATGGTTTTCAAAAAAATTTTCAGGGATAATGCCACCCTATGGAATAAAAATTTTTTTTGGGAGGGGGAGTTGCGTAAATAAATATATAAACCAGGAAAAACTCACGAAAAAAAAAGCCTTCTGCATAAGCTCATTTATATGTCGAATTTTTAATTTTTTTATTAGATCAGTTCGTTCATCACTGGAATACAACTCAGTGTAAAAAGCGAATGATGAACAGAATGGTTCACACATTTTTTAAAAAATGAAAAATATTTGATTGGTTACCCGTGATTTAAAAAATAAATAACTTTTTTTTCTTTTTTAAGTTGACTAGCATTTATGGAAGCTAGTTCGCAAGCCCATATTGTTAAAATGCTGTTATTAGAAAAGCTCGTTTAAAATTTAAATAAGGCAAAATCACATCAGTGGCACATACAAGGCAATCTAGTGTAAATAAATAAATAAACGATAAAATATAAAAGTGTAATTAAAAAAATGGAATTCGTATTGGGTATTATATTGTGTCATTTTCTTAAGTCCCGCTAACGGTTTCTATAAATGGTCGCCCGTGACCGAAAAAATTAACTTAGCAACACGGTCACGTTCATCACAGAATCCTATATTTCGATGATCACTAATTATGGTATATACAGATGAATGGCCAAGCGTATCCAGCAGAAGGCAGCTGCAAGAACTGGCTAAGGCAAAAAATTTACTTTTAGTGAATAGCTTGTATAATAGGTACAAAATATATACATGTTGCAGCTTTATAATTTAAATTATTTTCAATAAAAAATCAACCTGAACCACGTTTGTAATTTAAAAAACAAATTGAAATATTTGAGTAGATAAAATATTCATGTATATAAAATCATTTCCTTTTTTAATTTGTGCAAGAACGGAAATCCAGTAAAAAAAAAAATTTAATTCTACTGTCTTTTCAAAGAAACAATCGACTTAAAATTTGCTTTTAACGAGTTTCCATTTTTTTCTTTTTTTAATTGACTTAGTAAATCAGTAAAAGTTCTATTTTGGAAAATTTCATTCGCTGTAACGAATTATAGAATTACTTTTGTAATTCCAAAACAGTGTTACCTACAAAATGTATAACAGGGAAGAAAGTGTGTAATTTTGTTTCATAATTCATAAATAATAAGTTTAAGAGACATTTTACTTAGAAATATTTTTCTTTTTACTGAGGGACTGCTCAAAACTTATAAATTTATCGGAGGGGCCCCAAGTTGTTTACATTTGCACTAGACAGAGATATTTTTCTCTAGAGTAATTTATAACCAGACTTTAGGTCCTCAACCAAATTCATTAATAAAGTTTTATAAAAATATTTTTTTCATAATGCGAAGAATAAAATGAATCATAAAAAATATGTTCTAAATTATAGTATTTCAAAACGCTTTTAATTTTAAATGAATTCTGTATTAAAGGGTCTTACTTTCAAGCAGGGGCGGATTAAGCTTACGCGGGGCCCTAAGCCATTCAAATTTTTGGGGCCCTTATATTAAATTTTTTTTCTCGTATATTTATTTATTCAAATATAAAAGTATTTATATATCTTTTCATTTAAGAAAGCATATCTAAAATTAAAATTAATAATAATAAATTAAATTTTATTTTATTAAATTGAAACTAAAAAATAATCCTATCATTTTGAAAAAAATTTGAAAAATCATTGCTTTTCTTAATTTATTTAAAAAAAAAATCCATATTAAGGGGGCCCCTAATCATTGGGGGCCCCAGGCTATGGCCTTGTCTGGCCTAATGGGCAATCCGGTCCTACTTTCAAGGAGGGCTCACGTCAGTATCTGGGGCCTAACATGACTGCAATTTTAGTTCAATGGCCACTCTGACCTGTCGTATCTCATTGGAATGTGAGCGCTTTATTCTCCAAGTTGGTTTCCACGAGAATTTTAATACTTTCGATTTTCGAAACTATCTTCAGCAGAACCCTTTCAAAAGAAGCACCAGTATCACCATACAGATTTAAGAGAATAAGTAGATAAACTTATTGCAGCTGTGGTGGTTTAAAATGATACATGTTTGATCGATGTTTTGAAAAAAAAAAAAAAATTATGCTATCCGCCATGTTATTTATTTATTATTTTACGATAGCAATTTATAAAAATTTTAAACTTTAAAGAATATCTAACTTCTTTTTTAATATTACTTTTCTGAACCAATATTTTTTTTAAATGTATTTTCATAAAAGTAATATATACTATGATTTTTTGAAGAAATTTATTTAATTAAAAAATATCGAATTGAATTTGAAATTGTCTTTGAATAATGTAGTGCTTGCTCATTTTAGTAAAATATTTAGAAAAAAATGCATTGAAAATCATTAAAGTTACGTATATTAAACTGTTTATAAGCTACTTATTCATATTTCAGCTGTTATATTTCTAATATTAATCTTTTAATTCGAATTGGAAACATCCGGGTAAATTAAGTTTTTTAAATTCCCACATTTTCAGTCTTATTCCCCCATTTTTTAAAAACAGTTCGGAGGACCATCATGCGAATCATTTACTGTGGAAATGTTCTAATTATTTCTTATCTTTTTTATGAAAATGAACCTCTGAACTAAGTGAAAATCTTAACAGAATTGCGTAGATAATAGTGAAGAAAAGACATTTTCCCACGAAAGAGTTATTCCATTCATTCTCATTACAGGCTCATACTTTTAGATTTGTGTGACGTATGTAGGAGAAAGGAAAGAATAGAAAATCGGAGAAGTTGTATTTTAGTTTTTGGCGAGAGATTCTGTTTCGGAAACCGGCATTTGGCGGTGAAATGTCCACTTTCTTTTTACTACCCATGGAGCTACTATACTATACATTCCACTCTAGTGCGATGAGGCAGGGGGGATGAAAATAGGGCGAGAAAAACTAACCCAACCATTCGCCGAGAGGAAGGGAATGAAAGAAAAGCGGCTGGTGATAGCTTCGTTTTAGCCGCCAAATTTTGCTGTTTCATTCGTTTCCTCGCGGCGAGGAGGGAAAGTTTTTTTTTTTTTAATAAATGTTATGTGTTGCTGTTGACTCCCTTTGTATCCACTTCCTAAATTATAGCAGCGGACGCGGCGATCTTGTTGATCCCGCCGTTCATTCCGAACGAACGGATCCGCATAAGAAATATACAGTTGTAGTTTAAAATCGTTTTACATCGGAATATCGATGCTATATTTTAAAATGAGAGTTATGAAAATGTGAAGTAGGAATATGTGGCTTAGCCAAAACATTAGTATTTAATAATATGAGTCAAGCTTTGCAGGTTCCAATATTTATTTAATCATGTCTACTACTAATTCTCATAATAAATCTTTTTCGTATCATGCTTCAATTCATAAAACACCAAAACTGAAGGAAAATGCTGCATGCAGTTCCTATGATTACACCAAAGATGTACCAACTCATCCTCAGATTGTTATGGATGAATATGGCCAAACTCCTGATCATTATTATTTAGCTAAAAAGGCACCTCCTTCTTTTTATCAGGTATTTTAAACAGTTGTATTTAACTTGCTTAGTTCTAAAGAGTCATAAAAATTAGATGAATAAGTTCAATAATTAATAATTTGTATGTTATAAAACAAAATAATCGACTGAAATAAACATATTCTTGTCGTTGTAGGTTTCACAGCATGTTTATTTATACGGCGTGTATAAATAAACATTCAGAATACATATAAGCATATTTATAAAAAAAACGTGTCAATGAATATTTTTATAAATTAACGCTTTCATAAACATTATATTTAAAGTACTCATAACAATTTTAATAATATAACATGTCAACTTTTAATGCATGGGTTCGATTGCACCGTAATGAACGATCTTAACAGAATAAGCATTATTTAAAATCTTATCTTCGTCAACCACAGTTTTACCCACGTGTATTTCAGATTTTAATTATTTTTCTATTTCTAAAGTTCCTTATATCTGAAATACAAAATTTATATTGTCCTTTTAAATATAGTGAGCTGCATTTATTAAATACTTTACACTTTGAAAATGGTACTATTTATTTACAATTTAAAATTGCTGTGCAATACTTTAATTTCTCTATGCTGTAAATTTTTTACATAGGCATTTTTTATATTGTAAATTAATCAAGTTCTTGAAATGTAAAGAATTTTTATCTTAAATAACAAAGGATCACTAGTGGATCTAATTTTAAATATGACAAATTTTGTTTTCTTATAACTGGTGTATGTACAAGATTTGTAGTTCTTAACATCTGATACAGTATTATCTAATCAAAATGTTTCTGAATCAGAAGTGTAGTGGGACCGGAATGCCATTCTGGTACTTTTTTAATTGCCAGAACGCTGTTCCGGAACCATAATTTGAGTATCACAATTTTTTCTTTTATTTATAAATCTTTATATTTCTCTTTTAATTTTATTAAAGAGCTAAGTATTATTTACGATTTTTCTTTCCTTAAATTTAATGCTGTTCTGGTACTTTTTTACTTGCCAGAACGCCGTTCCGGAAACATAATTTGAGTATCAAATTTTTTTCTTTTATTCATAAATCTTTATTTTTCTCTTTTATTTTATTAAAGAGCTAAGTAGTATTTACAATTTTTCTTTCCTTAAATTGTTCAATTGCCTATCTACACCATTCTAATTGAAATAAATTATCATTGGGGAATTTTGAAAGACCACTAAAATCATGCATGATATGACTCAAGTTAATTCAGAGAAAGTACATTTTCAGGTCTGATTTCGTGACCTAAAATATCCTCTGCACTAAATAATTAGCATATTTCGGATAACCCTTTTAAACCATTAGGTTTTAATATGTCATGATACGACAACCGAATCAAAATTTATTCAGGGTGTTATCTTTTTTTCTGTTTTCTTTTGCACACTCTATTTACCAAGTTTTATAATTTGGTGCTTTTAAACTTGTTCTTAGCATATAGAAATTTGATAAAAATTATTATCTGCAATGAGTATCTGTTGTTTTGATCTGATGGTATGTTGATGGCTGAGTTTGAGTTAAGTTATGTTATTAAAACTTCAATTTCCTTGTATTTTATGCAGTTGTTTAAGTGACAAAAATAACTCAATAAAAAAAGTGTTTGTGGTTACAAAATTAAATTTAGATTAACTACAGATGAATTGTATGGATCAGTTTCAAATTATTGACCATTTTATTAATAAGCAGCATATCGATATGGATATTTGATTTAAAAAAAATATTTCTAATTTAGAGTAAATCTTTATAAGTTTTTGGTTAAGGAACAATTGAATTTACTCTTTTTATCATTGTAGTACATATTTTTTAAAATCATTTTTTTAATGTCAACTGAAAAATGGATACTTGTTAATGTTATAAAAAATAGCACTTTAACAATGCAAGCAAAATAACTTTATGAATTGGTATTTGGAAGTTTAATAGAAATTCATGAATTTTCAGTAGAATTTATTTTTATTTATTACATGGCCCCCATATTCCTTATATTTAACAAATCCGAGATAACAGAATTGTTAATTTCAAATGTTTTTAAATCAAGTGATGAAGAGATAAATGAAATGAGTTTGAATCGCATGATATTCCTTTCTGCATTTATATTTATTCAAGATATTTTTACTATCTAGATTATTAAATTTTGCCACTAATTTTTATTGCTTTTTTTCCTTCATGAATAGTTCGAGTATTGCATTGCTTTATATTTTTTGAAATGACTCATAATAATTTTAAGAAGTAAAACATTGTTTTAGTTCAATATTTTTACTTTATTTAAGTCATTTCTTAAGGCATTTTTAGCGCAATTTTCGCATTTTTAAGGGCATTTTTTGCACTTTGTAAGGGCATTTTTTGTACATTTTTAGGGCATTAATTGAGATTTTTTAGGTTATCAAAATCCGGGCTCTAGCTATTAGTTACCCACTCAAATTTATACATAAATGAAAAACTTCCATATGGAATTCCATTTTGTAGCACAGACAAACAATCTGCATCAATAATATGACAATCATTACTGTTTTACCTTTCTTGGCAGTTGTGACTTACTCAATTTATTTCATTCTTTTTTTTTTTTAATGATCATATTTGGTGGCTTCTGTATAGTTGTAAAAACGTCTCTCATCGGAATTAAATATTCTTTTCTAAGAAGTTACGCTTCTGTGTCAGCTTTCATTATTTAGTTAATAGTAATTATTAAGCACATTGAGAAGACATCTACTACAATTTTTCGGTCTTACAAAAATAATTTAAAACAAAAAGTTGTTCTTTTATCACCTAGAATTTGACCATGCATCAAGAGTAGAGCATTTCAGAGAGACTAGAAGGAATGTGTGTGAGGGAGCTACTGGCAAGAAAACATGTCCTTTCATTAATATATTATTCTTTTTACCTAGAATGATACTTTATGAGGAGAGTGAAGCATTCCAAAATAAAATAATAGTGTGTGGACAAAGGGGATACTGCACATGTAGTCATGCCATTTTTGTGAGGAGGGTGGCAGTTAGTTCTAAGTAGAAGCCCCACATTAACCTTTAAAATCAACAGAATTTAAGAAATTTGGTTTTACTGGTAGTGCGTGTGCTTATAAGAACAACATAAAGCCCTAAGATAAGAAGTATCAGAAAAAATGTTTGAACTAGAATCCGTAATGAAAACTAAGCAGATTGTTACATAAAAATTTAAATCTACTCAATTAAAAGATCCCAAACTTTTTTTTATTAATGTCAATTAGATTAAAATTTGAATTTACATTTTTTTTAAAATCATTTTGTTCAATTAACATTGCAACTTAATATACTTTTTTTTAAAAATTCTTCCAATTTTTGATTGCTTTAAAATTAGTCCATGTTTCTTGCTAGATTATTTAGTAATAAATGTTAATTCTTAATTTCTGAATAACAGTTTTGGCTGGAATTTTTTTTTTTATCTAAAGCTCATAATAAAAGTAAATATAAAACATTTGCTGTTTAGTAATAATTTTAAAATGGTTAAGTTATATACTGTTTTCAATATTGTTTTTGCAAACATTACCTGATAAGATGATATTACTGGATTACTTTATAATAAAAGAATACCACTTTCTGTTTTAAACTGTTAATTTAGAGCAAAAATAAAATATCAAATCATAATAATAATAGAGAATAATATTTAGAATGATAGAGAATGATAAAGAAATATTACAAATAAATATCTATAAATAATTAAGAAATAAATAATTTATCAGTATTTGTTAATTAAGAAACCTTACCAATTTTCTAACCTTAGGAATGTGTTGATAACTTTGAAAAATCATTTTGACCCTTTTATTTATACATTCCACCTAAAACTAATATAAAAAGCATATTGGTTTAAAGATTATAATTCTTCTCAAGCATAATTGTATTTTTATTCAATAAATTTTTTTTATAAAATATTGATTGCAATAAATGTAAAAGTCTAATGGAGTGATTTAAGAAGCTTAGATATTAGCAGGGCCTGTATTTATTTGAAATAGGACTTAATTATACATGACATAGTTCAGAAAACTACTTTCATGCGTAACTCTTATTGAACTTTTTAGTATTAAATCTTTTAATATATACCCATGTAACTTTCTATTAATAGAAAAGAAAGAATTTTTTTGGCGTAACTGAATATTAAGCAAAATTTCTCACAACTGAAATTGTGATACAGTAAAATATTAAAACTTGTTCTAATAATTTTTTCAATGTTTTTTCCAAATTTCTTTTTTCTTTTACGAAAAAAAATGTGAATCTTAATTTCTGCACTTTAATTTTACAATTTAATTTTGATGAAATCATTAAAAATGGAATATGGATTAGTTTCATACATGTCGTTAACTCTTAACAATTAGAAAATATTTTTACATAAGACCCTACCCGGGTAGGCAAAAGTTGCCTGTTCCTACTTTGGCGAACCCTGTTAATTAATACGATCATATCGGTACTTGCATTGTATTAAAATGTATTTTTTGTAATTTTTTATTGAATATAAAAAAAATTGTTTTTAGAAATTTTTAAATATCCCGTAAACAGAGGCGAGTCTACCCATTTTTTCAGTTTGTCAACTTTCAAGTGGTCAAACTTTTGTAAATATTAAAGAAAAAAGGCTTTTAATAGATGTTTCGGAATCGCTTTTAATCCCCCTTTAAAGCTGCGAAATCGATTTTATAAAATATTAATAGTTACGCTGTTACTGTATATTTTTATAGAACTGCTGACAAATCTCTCGTATGTGGCGAGTCTACCCATTCTACTAAAATGAATGTTAACATTGTAATAAATAATCAAATTTTACTATTAAATTGTTATTTTTAGTTACTATATTGGATATTTATGAAGTAAAATTCATAACTTTATTATATATTCCATTTTTTATTCATAAAATAACACAAATTGAGTATTTGATCGATTATCACATTTTGATCACAATTTTGTTTTTATAATCATTAACATTATAAAATAAAATTTTTTTCTGATTATTGTTGATAAAAATAAATCAAAATTAATATAATTTTACAA